TTGGGAGCCGCTGAACAGCTGTTCGGCGGCTCCAAAATGGCCACCGGAAGCCCGGAAATGGCTGCCGGCAGCTGTTTTCACGCCTTGCCCTCGCTTAGCGAGGGCGCGAAAATGGCTGCCGGCAAGGGGAATCCTCGCTGAACGGGTAAGTAAGCAAGGTATTGGAACGCATTAAACTAAGTTTAATGCGTTTCAATACGTTTTCCCTACCTGTTTAGCGACGATTCCGCATAGCAAGGGTTAATCCGGAACGGATTAACCTCGCTATGCGGGGCACCACTGTACTGTACTGCCCATCTAGCCCACTCTGGGCAGTTCTTACAACTATTTCCACAAGAGGAATCCATGTGTAAATCTGCTTCAGCAAAATGAACTTTAAAGGGTAAGAGTGTGTATTGGTCAAAATCAAACACTTTGAGAACTCATTCATTTCCACTCTTGGGGCTAAAACCGGTATCAACCCCAACTAGAGCAGGTGGAAAGCAGCAGGAAAAGAGCAAATATAAGGCAGACTGACTCCCTTAAGGAAACCACAGCTTTGAGTTTACAAGAGCTGAGCAGGGCAGTTGGGGAAAGGCCATTTTGGAGATTGCTCATTCATAGGGTTACTATATGCCAGAGGTGACTTGTCAGCACATAACAACAACAGAGCAGACCTATTTAATTCAATAGGACTTGATTTAATCCAATCCAATCAGTGAATCTTACAGAAACTGTATGACTTGTACCTAAGAAAGTGCCTTCAAGGGCAATTAATAATTAGAGAATACAGGGCATCATTCTTGCATTTGAGAGGAAATCAATTTTTACTGGCATTAAACTGCTCTTTGAATATGCATGCTAGGATGTGCCTCACAACTAGTCACCTTTTGGAAACCGTCATCAATTATAGATCATGTTTATTGCTTATTTATGGATGTAAAAATACCCTAGCAAGAGGATCATAAACAGCATTGGCTTCCGGGCATGCCAATTGCAACCAAGTAGAACACACAGATATTAGAAATCGCTGATTTTAGACGCATCAAATACACAGCAAATGACCAGTTCATGGATCAAGTATTGCAGTAGAACACTGATAATGGGCTAAATCCCCAAAGCTACCTGCAGAAGAAAACTGGTTTTCAGTGGCTCAAATTGTATCTCACTATTTGATTAAAAGACAATGCTTAAACTTTGCTCTAGTGATCTTTGCTAAAATGAGGAGAATCTGCTTGTGTTTTTCAGCTTTAACAAACACAGATCTAATTAGGCAGATGAGATTCTGCAACCTCTCAAGTTCTCAGGAGTTGTTAGGTTCTGTCTAGTGAGTTGTCAGACCTTGAAACTGGAGCATCTTTTTCAGGCTAATGGGTTCTCAGGTTCTGGATTGGCCACATCTTCCCATGCTATAAACTGGATTTTCCAGGACAGGAAACATTGCAAGCAGCAATATTCTTCTTAATTCAGGTGGGTTCCTGTGTCTCCCCTGACTGACATCCAACACAGGGGTTGGCCTGTGGTCTGAGAAGAGGAAGGTATGTCACCCCTAAATTTTGGGGAGTGGTACCTCCTCACTAAGACCTTGTCCATACCTCCACTCCCTGCTCACTTCCAACAGATCTGACTGCTACAAGATGTCCCACATACCACACCTGACAGTTCAAGCCCCATGCCACTGAAGTGGTGGTCCTCAAACGTTTTGACATCACACATCCTTTTCAAGTTTTGAGAAACCATCAGGCCTTCCTCCTTCTCTGTAATCACTTAATCCCCTTTTAACATCCAATCCTCTTTGTCATTTAAAGTTAAAATAATCACAAAGATTTTAAATGAAAAAGAAGCAAAAGATAGTTTCTGTTATCACAGAGAGGTAACAAAACAACCAAAATCTTGTTGCTCCATGGATCCAGCATTATGTCTGTCTGTCATCTCTGGCTTGCTGTTGCACATGTGGAGATCACTGAATCCAAAAAAAGGCCCTCATACTTGTGCAAAAAGGTATTGGAGCAAGGCCTTGCATAAGCCTGGAAAACACTGGTCCACTCACACAACAAACCGTTGCATGCATGAATCAAATGAAAAGGATTCCAAGTAATGTACTTTACCATTAAAAATAACAGAAATAAAGCATATTGAATGTGAAAGAGGATGAAAACTATAGTTTCACACACACCCCTTTGAATTTTTTTTCAAATGCACACACTGAGGAGGCAACCCCATTTGGGAACCAATGCACAAAATTGTTTTCAGGTTTTGATTTCTGAACTGCTGCTTAGAGATGTAAAATTTCTATTTTTTTTTCTTGGGGGCAAAACATGCTTAGAAGTATTTTCATTTCATATTTTCTTAAAATTTCCAAAATTTGCTATTTTTTTCCAGGAAAAAAAATTCAGAAATTTTGCATCTCTACTGTTGCTAGGCTGGATAATATTTTCGGTGACCTTCCTTCTACTTTCTTCATATACAACCTCTAAGTATTACTGCATTAAATTTGTGTTTGTTGAAAAATGGGGAGGAGAGAAGCTACGGTGGGCAATGTCTCTTGAAAGCATCCCTCCCCCCTGCATTTTGTTGTGGCTGTTTGTAGTTATGTGTCCTTCCTTCCTTTCTCTCTACTCCAGATATATGTATTACACACATTTTGAATAACGTGATCCAAGCCAATCAAAATTCAGATAATGAATATAGTGACTTTGGACCCCAAGTACCATGTGCCCAAGTCACATTTGGTCAGTGTCTGGGAAAGTCACTTCTCTCAGCTATAGACTTCCAGATCCCCCAGTCAGTACAGCCAAGGAAAATTGTGGCTGGGAAATTCTGAGATACTGTATGCAGTCCCAAAAAAGGTAATGCTTTGAAGCTAAGGATCGAATTTGTATTTCTTTCTCATTACTGAGTGAGCTATTTTTTTCATTGTAAATAGGTCACTCCAAAAATACATGAATAACCCATCATATTCAAACCTACGTTTCTCAGCTCTTGCAGAATTCACAGGGAGCATTGCTAACTATAGTTTCTCCTAGTAGTTATTGGTTTACCCAAGGAGACCAATGCAGAGCCAAACACAACCAAAGAAAGGCAAGATTCCTACCTGCCCAAGAGTACACTCCATGCCACCCAGGAAGTCTGCATCTTTCAGCCCATTATGGTTGCTGCTGATGTCATGGACTTCAAATCGTAGCCGTTGAACCTCTTCAAAATAAAAGTCCACTGTGAAAAGCTTTGAGAAGATGGGATTTATGCAGGTTCGAACCACTTCTGTCCTGTCAACCTGTCAATCAAGAGAAAATTAAGATCACCATTTTATTTTTACCAAGAGAAAAATGACACTTCAAATGTCTGGCCAAAAAGAAACATAGTACCAGAATAAATTGATTTGTAGAGGTAAACATTCAGAAGAATGGAATGATTCAAAGGGACCAGGCAAAGGTCTTAATGTAAATAATGAAACACAACCTGCATTATTAACAGAATTCTGTTACTGTATCTCTATTTTTGTGATACTGGAAGTTTAAAAAAACTAAAGAATTTAAAAGATCATAAGATATAATATTAAAGAACGGGGAAACACAAAGCACATAATAATATTAAAACCACCATTAAAAACCTCTTTTAAAAAGTTCCTGAATTCAATACATGTGACATTCCTAACACCTTCATTCATCCAAACCACTTAAACACGTGCCAGAAAGGGGAGGTCTTGGCCTGGTGGCGGAAGGACGAAAGGGAAGGGCTAAACTGCCTTCTTGGGAGAGTGGATTCCACAATCTGGAAGCAGCCGCTGAGAAGGCTCTCTCTCACATCCTCATCAAACAAGCTTGGGAGGGTGGTGGGGTTTATAGAAGGGCCTCCCCAGAAACTCCTAAACGCTGAGGAGGCTCATGGGAGGTTTAGAGATGGGCACAAACTGCTGGTTCTACTGTTCATGCCAGTTTTTTCTTCGGCTGAAAGGTGTTCTGTGCCTCCCAGCCCTGCCTCCTCTGGAGGGTGCCCGCACAGAGACAGAGCCCTGGCTTCCCTACCTTGCTTCCCCTGGTTGCTGCCTCTAAGTGGGTGTCTACGGGGGGGGGGGGAGCAAGGCTGGGAAGGGCCAAATACCTGTTTGGCAAAAAACCCACAACGAATCAGCACAAACACCAAACCAGCAGTTTATGCCCCTCTCTAGAGGTGATATAGTCTTTCAGATAGCCTGTATCCAAGCTATATAAGCTATTTGAATTGGACTGGCAGTGTTATAACAGGGGAGTCATACGGGCCCAGCAAATGCTGATTCACACACATATACACATACAGTGGTGCCTCGCTAGACGATGACCTCGGAAAACAACAAATCCGCATGATGATGAGTTTTTGTGATCGCTATAGCGCTTCGCAAAACAGTGTTTCCTATGGGCAATTTTAGCTGGACGATGTTTGGGTCTGTGCTTCACAGACCGTTTTTCAAAAAATGACAATTTTAACAGTTGATCGGCACTTCACAAAATGGCTTCCCTATGGGTGATTTTCGCAAAATGACGACGACTTTTCTCCATTGGAACGCATTAAAAGGACTTCAATGCATTCCAATGGGGAATTGCATTCCGCAAGAGGATGTTTTCACAAGACAGCGATTTCAATGGAACAAATTAACATCGTCTTGCGGGGCACCACTGTAGTATGATATAGCACTACTTATCAACTTTCAGAAGGACATGTGAATTTCCTCCAAGAAACTATAAAAACAGCAAAAGTCAGTCCAACCCAACACCCATAAAAACAATGTTAGGGGGTTCATTTGCAGGCAAATTATGATCCACTAACCTCAAAAAGGACCCAGTATAAGGCACAACTGGTTGAATAAGCAGTGTAGTAATCCATCTTGAAGTACAGGTGCTCATCACAGCAATCCACATAACCATGCTCCCCAAAAGAGTCCAAAATCACAACGTACTCCATTGATCCTTATCAGCAAACTAATTTTGGTGCTTACATTTTCATAAGGACCAGCTCTTTACATAGCTGATGTATCCCAACTGTCCACTCAAGACCAAGCCTAAAGCCAACTGAAAATACTTGGCATTAGAACAGTGACAGCTTACTCTTAGCGTATTATTGCTGGGTGAAAAACCATTTTCTTCCTCTACCTGCTATGAAAGCTGTAGCTAAGTTCAGAGGGAATGAGGAAGCCTGAGAAGGGAGCAGCTGATCTCCCCATCCAAGCTAAACAGAACTTCTGAAACCCCAGGCTCTTTGACCACACTGGAAACAATCAAGGAAACGGGGCTGCTACAGAAAATGGCTTCCTCATTTTAGGTCTCTTTTCTGTAACTCATAATAACTGGGAAGAGGCTGCATGACAGTGTCACAAGAGGTACACTGCTCAATGTGAACTTTTATCTACAGTACAGCTGTTTCCAGTACATAACAGGAGAGACAAGAAGGAATCCAACACAGAGCTGTTTTCAGCCCCAGGTCCTTAATTAATCAATGTCTAAGCATCGTCCTTCATTGTGACTAACTCTTGCTAGCTTGTGCCCACTGAGAAAAGAAGATCAGAGAGTGAAATAGAACACTGTGGCTCTCATTCTGTGATTCAAATCTGCCCAGGCTACAGAGGTGATGATATCAAATAAAAACAACCCTCCATAGCCTGCAGTCTCATACAAAGCACCCCTTAAACATCAAGTCAAATACATAAGCTTCATGAAAACTTTGGATTTTAGCTGAATGCTATTAACCATCTCTAGCACTGGGTAAGGTGCATTCCTATGGAACTTTACACTGAAGTCCCACTGTATTCAACTATGATTTCAGCCTGAACCTGTCCCATATATAAAGCATTTCTAACTCTGCGAGTATAAAACCATTTCAGGCCAGCACCTAAATACTGATTAAACCCAGGAAGCCTAAGAAACAACACCTTATATGTGATGGGGGGGGGAGTGATGTTATTTTTAGAACAAATGGAAATTAACAACAGGAAACCTTCCAGGCTGCAATAAGGTATATGAGATTCCAATAAAAGCACAAAGCAATTTGCACTTCACTTGGTAGCTTATGAGCAAGCTTTTATTAACTATGCTTTCACACCATTTCATCTCTGCACTACAAATAAAAAGCCATCAAAAAAGGATGCCATACATTGTAAGTCATTGCTTTCCTATTAACTGTTTGAAAACAGTTAATGTGGATTTAACCCTTTCTTAATAAAGTCCTGGAAAATCACAAGAAAGCAACTACCCCAATTATTCCAGCTTGTCCTATCTTGTCCTAAGGATGAGTTATTCAGGAAATTAAAAGTTACAGTTGACTCCACAGACATTTATCTGATAATACTCAAAACGAAGACTGTGTGAAACAGCCATCCAGACAGAACTCCCAAAGAGAGAGCTGATAGCTATTACATCACTTTGTGTCACTCCAAAGACAATGAGGTGAAATCTAGTGCTAGCCTTCTACCAAAAGAATGGGCAATGTTGCCACAATGAATTCTCCCACACCTGGCAGCAGCCTCAAGTACATCTGGGATCAACAAAGGGCATCTGTGGGGTCCAAGGGTATGTGCAAGGAGGAAGAGAGAGAGAGAGAGACCGGACCTTCCGCTGAATGAGCAGGGGTCCACTCTCACCCATCTGTTGAGGTCTATTCCTAAGGCCTTCAGATCCCGCTTGCAGATATCCTTGTATCGCAGCTGTGGTCTCCCTCTGGGGCGATTTCCCTGCACTAATTCTCCATATAGGAGATCCTTTGGAATCCGACCATCAGCCATTCTCACAACGTGCCCAAGCCAGCGTAGACGTCGCTGTTTCAATAATGTATGCATGCTGAAAATTCCAGCTCGTTCTAGGACTACTCTATTTGGAACTCTGTCCTGCCAGGTGATACCAAAAATCCGTCGTAGGCAACGCATATGGAAGGTGTTCAGCTTCCTCTCCTGCCGGGCAGAAAGGGTCCAGGACTCGCTGCAGTACAGGAGTGTGCTCAGGACACAGGCTCTATAGACCTGGATCTTGGTATGTGTTGTCAGTTTCTTATTGAGCCATACTCTCTTTGTGAGTCTAGAGAACATGGTGGCTGCTTTCCCAATGCGTTTATCCAGCTCGACATCTAGAGAGAGGGTGTCAGAGATGGTTGAGCCAAGGTACACAAAGTCATGAACAACCTCCAATTCTTGTGTGGAGATGGTAATAGAGGGAGGTGAGTCCACACCCTGGCCCATGACTTGTGTTTTCTTCAGGCTGATTGTTAGTCCAAAGTCTTGGCAGGCCTTGCTGAAACGGTTCATGAGTTGTTGGAGGTCTTCAGCAGAGTGGGCAACAATGGCTGCATCGTCTGCAAAGAGGAAGTCCCTCATGCATTTCAGCTGGACTTTGGTCTTTGCTCTCAATCTAGAGAGATTAAAGAGCTTTCCATCTGATCTAGTCCGGAGATAGACACCTTCTGTTGCAGTTCCAAAGGCATGCTTCAGCATGACAGCAAAAAAGATCCCAAAAAGTGTTGGTGCGAGGACACAGCCCTGTTTCACTCCGCTTCGGATGTCAAAGGGATCTGATGTTGAGCCGTCAAAAACTACAGTGCCTTTCATTCCATCGTGGAAGGACCTGATGATGTTAAGGAGACGAGGTGGACATCCAATCTTGGGAAGTATTTTGAAAAGGCCATCCCTGCTAACCAAGTCAAATGCTTTTGTAAGGTCTATGAAGGCCACTAAGAGTGGCTGTTGTTGTTCCCTGCATTTCTCCTGCAACTGTCGGAGGGAGAATACCATGTCAGTGGTGGATCTATTTGCTCGAAATCCACACTGTGATTCCGGATAGACTCTGTCTGCAAGCACCTGGAGCCTCTTCAGCACAACACGGGCAAGCAGCTTCCCTACAACGCTAAGAAGAGAGATACCACGGTAGTTATTGCAGTCACCCCTGTCACCTTTGTTCTTGTACAATGTGACAATGTTTGCATCCTTCATGTCCTGTGGTACTCCACCTTCCCTCCAGCAGAGGCAAAAGATTTCATACAGTTCGGTGATGATGATCTCCTTACCGCATTTCAGCACTTCAACAGGGATGTTGTCCCTTCCAGGTGCCTTGCCAGAGGTGAGGGAATCCAAGGCCGCATTTATTTCTGCTAGGGTTGGTTCGCTGTCCAGCTCTTCCAAGACAGGCAGGCACTCAATGTTATTTAATGCTTCTTCGGTTACTACATTCTTTCTGGAATATAGCTCGGAGTAGTGCTGCACCCAGCGTTCCATCTGCTGTGCTCGGTCCTGGATGATCACACCTGTAGTAGACTTTA